TAGCTATCAAGGAGTGATGGAGCATACGGGTAGGGAGGCTTTGCACAGAAATGCAGGTCCAAGGAGAAATACCTTTGTCCCCAGGTTCCTTGAAGTCCTGTACATTTAAGTCACCATTCTAGTTTACTGTCAGGAATGTCAAAATCGCTCTTTGGCTTGGCTAGAGCTATCGTCTATGCTCTACCTCTCATCACTAAAATTGGGGTATTTTCCCTTCACAGCAACAGTAGGTAAGAGATTAAGGGAGGGAGTCAGCATCTTGATACTCACATTTGATTACATGAATTCAGAAAATCCTGCATGTGGTGGGGCTGGGATCTTCCCGAAAGTAATCTGTGTTGTAGACATGAACACTCTTTGAGGGTGGACAGAGACTGGAAACAGAAGAACTGCGGCTTCTCTCATTGCTCATGGCCTGGTCTTGAGTGCGGGGTTGCTTCATCCTGCATGCTCAGCAACAGTGTTTGTGAGGAGTAGTATTTAAGTGTCTGTTGACTGAACACCCAAATGAGACAGAACTTAACCAAACATTTTGATTCCTTATTCCTTTCAGTTTACACAACTTTACTACTCCATGGGTCATGCGATGAACTCCCTGGGAGACAGCTAGATGGGCACACACTTCTCTCACACATAGTGGGACGTAAAGGTGAACGAACAACGCATTCTCTCCCATCCTAGCCATGTAGCTTCCTGGGGTGTGTTATCTACATGTTTTCCCACTCTTAAGACTGCCTCTGGGGTGAAACCTGGTGAAACAGGTACCATCCCACAAGTTCACACAAAGCGTTCACCACCGGGTCTTGAAAAGCCCGATCTCAGTGAAAATGACCTACCCATTGTCTGGCAGAGGTCAGATAGAAGGTCATTTAGTCTTGTTTCAAGGGAATGAGCCAAGTGGAGTGTACTGTGGGGAACAAAGTCAAGATATGACACAAATTCTTTCAACCCAGTCAGGTGACCTGGCCTTGCCCATAATGGAAAGACATCATTGTTGCAAAATGATGGCCCACACAGACATTAGAGCCAAACAAAACTATTTGCTAAGAGGGGGAAAAAAACTGGTTGTATGCTGCCTGGTTTTGTTTACATAATCAACATAAAAAGATAAAAAAAACCAGTGAGTCAGCCACTGTGTAGACTTACTAGCCTTGATCTGGATGTGCCTTTGCCCAGGGAAAGGAGAATGTGACATCTCCAGAGGTTCTAATGCTGCAAAGTTAAGCCAAGGACTATGAAAAATGTCAAGAAGGATTCTACCAAGACATTCTAGTATAAGGTAGAAAACATTTCATATATGGGAAGGATCAGGAATCAAGAGGTCTACCTACAGATGAAGCAAGTTACAGTGACCATCATGTGGTAGTTGAGGAATGCTGCATTCATGCCAGAAGTTTTCCCATAGACCTTCACCCCACTGTTTCCATGTAGATAGACCGTTGGACCTCAGCACACTGAGATGTCACAGGGGAATCCTAGGACAGAACAACTGACTAGTAACCAAGGTACTACAGAACATGTCCCATGACTGTAGCTTTGCCTTAGAGGGCAGAGTGTACAGGACACCATACTAAACATGCTACATGTGCAGCATACATACATACGTAAGTATACATGAGTGCATATGTTGGATCTGAAGTGGCCTCTATAAGTACAGTTCTCATGGTTACCTATTTTCTACTTGACCAGTAGTTATCAGGGTTGCCATCTGAGAAACCTGGGTCTCGGTGAAAAAGATTCTGTTTCACCTTGGCACTGCCAGACAGGTCTTATAACTTTTGCCTATTCAAGGTAACATGAACATTTGTCATCCCAGATACCACATGGGCATGGGCATAAGCGAGTAGAATTCCAATACAAAGGCTTTAGGCTAACCTAACAGATGCACATCAGTTCTGATCCTGTAAACAAGCTCTGGCTTTTGTGTGGAAGCCAAATGTCGCATTTAGCTGTCATTCTTCATGAGATAGCAATCTTGATACGTGTACACAGGGTCTCTCTCCTGACCTGGAACTCAAATGTTAGGCTAGCCAGTGAACCCAAGAGTCCTTCTTCTTCCCCAGTGTGAGGCTTAGAAGCATATGTCACCATGCCCATCTTATCATTATCGTTTGTGTGCATGATGTGTATAGGGGGTGTACCATGGTGTGATGTAGAGGTCAGAGAACAACGTGGTAGAGTTGGTTTTCTCCTTCTACTCATGTGTAACTTCCAGGGATCAAACTCAGGTTGCCAGGCTATGTGGCAACTGTTTACCCAGCTAAGCAATCTCCCTAGCCTCATGTTGACCTTTACAATCACCAGGCTAAAGATCAGGTAACTAATCAAGGCTTTCCCAAGACAAAACTGTTAAGACCCCTAGGATCTTGAGCAAAAGATAGAACTTTTGGTTATTAAATGAACAATGACAGTTTGAATTTGAAAAGAACAGGCAATCAGTGGCCTGTCCAGACATGCAAAATTCCCCTGTGACACAGCAAATAGAAGGGTTCACACACAGGTCATGAGCTTACTCTCTGCCCCAAAGAGTTACCAATAATCTGTACACTTGCAGCAAACTGTGAACAAATATATTCAGATATATTTAAAAGAATTAAAAAAACATTTCACAAAACATTTGTTGCCATAGGAACTGCTGTCAACTAGAAATGCCTACATCAAGATTTACACATGATTCAAAGCAGGATCATCTGTACTAAGTTATGCAACAAGTCATGTAAACAGAGTCAGATACATTTCCCAGCAGGAGTCACCTCCTTCCTGACATGGAAGTGGTCTGTCCCAGACATTTTTTTTCCAGGGTGCCAATTAAGAAACTGCTATTTTCAGAGCAACAAAAATAAAAGCTTTTATTTGTTCATTTGAATATAAAACAGGCGTTATCACAGATGTACAAAGCGTACTTGTGGTTGAACATACAAGAAGGTTGCTGTCCTTTGCACATAAAAATTTTGTTTGAAACTGTGATTGGTTGAGTACATGAGTTTTCTCTAACCAGTCACCACACTCTGAAATAACGCTGCTAACATTCAACTGATAAAGGGACCGCCCCCTTGGGTAAAGTGTCAAGCAGGGTTAAATATATATAATAAACAAGCACCATGAGGAATCTGCTCCTGTTTGATTAGGTCTGTGTCTCAATGTTCATTGTGTACCCTCTTTTTGTGCAAGTTGATTACACGGTTTTGGCTGACTCCAAAAGCACATGGTCACAAGACAAACATTTTTTAAAAAACATTCTCATGAATGATTTATCTACAGTACAATTTCTAATACACAATGATCCTTCTTTATTGCTGAAACTGGTGGTACTTAAGTGTCTCCTTTCCTTTTTCTTGCACAACTAAGCTTCCAACCCAGTCCACCAACTCTTAAGCCTAAAGTCTAATGTCACAGGTGACAGGATGCAGAAGAGACCTGCCGTGAACGGCTTTTGCAACTGTACTGCAGCCTTCGCCCTCCTTGGATGTGAAGTTGATATGGTGAAAAGTTAAGAGTATGTTTTGAGTGACATCTAAATTTGCTTTGCTTTCTCATATCAGCCAGATGGAAGATTTCCTGCATACTGCAATGATGTTTACCAATCAGTATCCTATCTGAATGTTAAACCAAGTTCCTTTCAAAAGAGAGAAAGTGAGACAGAGAGAGAGAGAGAGAGAGAGAGAGAGAGAGAGTGCCTGTGTGTATGTATGTATGAGGGTGTATATACATGTGTCAAGAAAATGTTTGTATGTGCCATGGATTTTCCCCCTTGGGAAGCTGCAGACTATAGGAATGTGTATTTGAAACACGTATAAATACATATAGCAATGAGCAAACATTTGAAAAATTAAATGATTTATGGCGATGGAAGAATGCTTTACATATGCAATTTAAAAATGTGCCACTTAAATTAAAAACAAAACAGACAAAAACAATCAGCCTTAGACCTCAGAAGTCAAACAAAACTCTCTTTTAGCAAAGGGCTGCATGTAACTAAGGCAGACAAAGATCTTGCCCGTAATGCAATCAAGAACCTCATTTCTGCCTCGTAACAATTTTAGTCAGGCTTATCTAGTACTGGGAGCCACTGAAGGAACATACTGTGGCAGTTACAAAACAAAGCCCTTCTTGTGTTGCGGTTACCTTCTCCTTGGTCTGATGCAGATCACGTGGACAAGCTGTGCACATGAAAATGTAGGCACACTTCACCAGGCATCAGTTCCCTAGCAGCTAGTATAAGATGGCGCGGACACAACTCCTTCATGTTTTACGTTCCTAGAATGGTGGCTGCTTAGGGCCAAGCTAGGAAGCTCTCAAAACTAGAGGACAGAGTTGGCTGGGTTTACAGTCAAGACGACATCACACATAGCTTTTCCCTCAAAGCTGTTCTGCACATTCATTCACTCACAGCAGCCACCGGAAGGGGTAAACGGGTGACACCTGGTACAAAGACCACAGGGTATCTTCTTTTCATACCAAGGAACAACCAAAAAGAATTATAAAAAGTGATACAAAAAACGCTAAAATAAAATAAAATTGACATTATGCAATGAATTCTTGCAGCTGAGAAAACAGTGCTATTTGCCAACCTGGAGCCCCTCAATGTCATTGGCACATGCTGGCACGAAAGCATTCACTGCTGTCTTCGCAGCAAAGGAAAAAATAGTGCACATTAGCATTAAATCCCTTCACCATCTCAGAGACGGTGGTGACTCCACTTGCTGGCCTCTGGCCTAACACAGGGTTACTGGCGATCTGCGATTGCTCGGAAACAGCCAAGTGTGTGTGAATACGGTGGAGGGCGCACCATGCAAGTGACAAGTTCTGCATTTAATCTTTAAAATCTCCTCTGTTCATTAGTGAATTTATATTTCATATATATATATTTGTTGTGATACTATCCACGCAAGATAATACAACACTTTTTTATATTAGCAAACATTACAAGACTTTAATATTCTTGAATGTTTTTTTTCTCTTTTATACTTCTAAAGAGATCAAAATAAATTAAACATTTTGTACATAATTACATATCGAGGAAGTTAACTTATTTTATCTTTTTAGTTTAGTACAAAGATATCTGCAAGATAGTTGCCGAAATACCTTATTTATAATCACTTCTCATTCTATGTTAACTTCAAAGGCCATAAACTGGCCTCTGTTTCTTCTGCATGTCTCTGACAAAGAAAGCTGCTAAAATCTAATTGGAAGGTGCTACCTGGAAGGTTCTCGTACCTCAATAAACTCTCCTAGAAGGGTGAGATCTAGCGATGGCTTAAATTAGATCCATGTCATTAAGATTTCATGACACATTAAAACAGAGAAAACAATTCTTTGTCACACTACATAAATTGTTTAAAAGAACCCATTTGGAGGGTAGAATTTTTTTTAATCGCTATTTCGGCTTAACAAAATACCACATTTACCAAGAGAGCACTTATTATCCAATAATTAAAAAAAAAAAAAAAAGAAAGAAAAAAAAGAGAAAGTTTTTAAAATGAGCTTTTCCAGCAAACTGAAGGCAGTGATCCAAAGTCCTTCTGAGCAAAATCCAGAATAAATTCACATTTCATCTCCATGCCAGGGTGACTGCTCCTAGAAGTCCTACCCCCAACCCCACCGCATTAGGCTCCTCCTTTGAATGTGGCCCAAGTGTCTGCATGTCTCTGTGGACACTGGAGGAAAAAAAATAAAAACACAAACAAAAAACTGGTCACATCCGTAGAAAAGTCTGTGGAAGCCAAAGTGATGAGACTACATGTTATAGGCCACGTAGATGGGATCCAGCTGGTCTGCCAAGAACCCGTCTCGCAGGTGCATTCGTTGTTTCTCTCCCCGGGAGTTGATGGGGATAACACCGATGTCCACCACGACCACCACTCCTACAATCAGGTAATGCTCTTCCAGGACCACATTGGTTACCAAGGGAACCAAGTCCAAGGCTTCCTGCTCTGACCCATCAAGTTCAACCACAACCACTAACAGGTTTGTCCAGGTAAAGACAGCACTAGAAGACAGAGAAGAAAACCACCATTATTGGGGGTACCTTTTTTGTGATATTTTCTGTTTCTGTTCAGACCTTCTTGAGTGATCCCACCCATCTCTTCACAGTGGCACCTCCCTCTGAGCTGTGTCAGCATATAGTCTTCTTGCCCACAACATACTTTCTTGGATTTTCTCTTGGCCTTCTCTCATGGTAGCACCTGTTTGTTACATGGTATTTTATGGATTCTGCTTCCATGGCACAGGGTCACTTCTGCCCTAGGGGTTGGGGCCTGGATTCCAGTTCTGCTGCATTACGGCTGCCTGGACTGTGGTTTCCCCACCATTTCATCAGCCCTCCAATGTAGCTTATCATCATCTCTTTCAAGGCTCCTAGCTCTGTTGCTGCAGGGGTTTGAGTAGCAACAGGAAGTACCCTCAGCCCATCCTTCCCATTTTCTGGCCATAGACGTGCTGAGATGTTTCAGATTGTTCTGATATAACTCTGCCATTGCCAGATAGCTCAGATGTGCCTGAGCTGGCCCCAGACATTAAGATACATGTAGGGCACAGCCATTAAGGCTTATTTCCAGTCATATAGTATGATAAGGTGACATCTGAGCATGATTAGCAGTTCTCTCTCAGAGAAATGGGTTTGGAGATGACAGTAACACAGAAGCAACTAATTCATACAGGTGTTTATTTGGTTTATTGGAGCAGTCTCTCGAGGACTTAGTCTGCCTAATTACTGGGAGCATAAACCCAGTGCTGCACCATTTAAAACTCCATTAACCTTGTGACATTGGCTTTTAGGACTGGTTAAAGATCCTGGGATTCACAAGCACTGGCATGCAGGCCTTCTTGGCTCCAGGAACCAGAGTGCTAAAAGGTAGAAGGAACTATATGAATAAACCAGCAGGTTCCAGGCAAGAAGGGGGCACATGAAGGGCACCAGATATAGAGTCAGTCACAGCAGCTCTCCCCTGCCTGTCTAACAATTTTCATCCTAGCTTGAGATGAAATGTATTTAGAGGCACTATTTTTTTCCACAAGCATGAGACTAAGTCTACTAGAAAACAGTGCAAATTCTATTCAGTATCATTAATACACATGAATTATGCTGAAAGATAATTGCAGAGAGCATTAAGGAGGGTGTTACCTTGGGAATCCTGCACCCCTCAGAGAACAAGCTTGAAAATAATTTCCAAAATGAGCTGACATTTCATTCCCAGTGTCCATGTGACCCTGAAATATTGGTTTGCATGGCCTCCACACTATAGTCTTGTGTCTGTGATATCAGTGATCACATACATGGCCTAGACCCTTTGGGTTGAAAAGTACTATGGCATCTGAAATATATGCCACTGTCCTGAAGTACTACCAGGCACAGCTCAGCCATACACAGGGTGTGGAAGGTGAGCTTTGCTGTCACCTCAGGGTTTCCTAGGAAGAGAGGGATGGAGACTGGAGGCCTTCCAACCATCACAGCTTTCTCAGGGGCTGTGTCAACACAACAATTCCCTTGATGAGAAATGAATTTGGTTGTTGTGGTGGTTTGAATAAAAAAGGCCCCATAAGCCCACAGGTGTGCACTATTAGGAGGTGTGAACTTGTTGGAGTAGTTGTGGCTTTGTTGGAAGAAGTGCGTCACTGGGGAGGGGGACTTTGGAGTTTTATTATTTTTAATAAATCAATTATTTTAAGACTTTGGAGTTTCAGAAGCTCAAGCCAGGCTTAGTGGCTCACTGTCCTGCTGTCTAGATCTACATGTAGAATTCTCAGCTACCTCTCTAGCACCATGTCTATCTGTGTGCCTCCATATTTCCTGCCATGACAATAATGGATTAAGCCTCTGAACTGTAAGCCAGTGCCAATTAAATGTTTTCCTTTATATGAGTTGCTGTGGTCATGGTGCCTCTTCTCAGAAATAAGACTTCAACTAAGACAGTTGGCTTGAATTTGGCAACATGGAGATGTTTTTTGTCTTTGACATGGGTTTCTCAGTAGCAGGTGACCTAGAGAACATGATAGGGTGGTGAGGAGGAAAACATGGAGAAGACCAAAAGAGGACCAGCAGGAGCAGGGGAGGAAGTCTGTGACTAAACAGTTCCCAAATCCTGAGTCCATCACAATCAAATCCTCTGACTCATCAATTCCCTCCCTCCTGGACTTTAACAAAACTAGTTAATTGGAAACCCTGCCTGACAATGTCAGAGTCACACTCAGCTAAGGAGCCTCACAGTAGGTCATCATAGTGATACTTAGGATAAAAACCCAGAGGGAGGCCCCTCAGCATACATCTTGAGGAGATTATAAAGGTAATTAAATTCAGGCTGCAGTTGAAATTTATAGTCACATAGATACAAAATGAGCTCAGCCCTGGGCTTATCTGTATCTTGAGATACAGATTTTACTGTCTTTTGCATTTCTGTCATCTATCCACAATAAGGAGGAAACTCTGACAATTGGAGGCTTTTGTTTTGTTTTGTTTTGGGGTGCTGAGCATAGAACTCACAGCTTTGGGCATGCCAGACAAGTACTCTGATGTAAGTTCTGGAGGCCTGTGTTAGTAAGGACCTAAGGCAATATGACCACAGAACCTGTATATGCAAACAGGATCTCAGGTACTTTGCAAGAGCTCAACAATGAGATTCAGGACTGTTGCAACTCCTTCTCTAGCATGTAGGAGACACTGATTCAAAGCCCAGCATTACAAAAATATAAATAAGAAATAAATGTACCTGCCCTATTCAGATTCAATAAATAGCAATAAGTGTGAGGCTATGTTTGGAAGTCCATTAGAAACATGAACACTCTCAGAACTAAGGTCTGAAAAGTACTCAAAGCTATTCCTGTGTGTGCTTCCTTTACTGGTTATTGCCTAAGATTGAGACTGATCACATCAGGTTCTCTGCCAGGAGGGGGCATAGTGCCCTTAGTGAGTAAACACCCTGCCTATCATCAACTGAGTAAACAAACCTCCACTAAAAAAAAAGCATGGAATCATTTTTCATTTTTTTTTTTTTGTTGAGGTGTTTTGTTTTTAAACAATTTATTACTTATTCACTTGACATCCCAATCATAGCCCCTGCTTTCTTTTCCTCCTGATCTCACCTTTCCTTCCTCTTCTTCTATCCCCTCTCCCACCTCAGAATAGGGATCCTCTACCCACCCATCCCAGCACATCAAGTAGCATGAGGACTGAGTATATCTTCTTCCTTGGTGGCCTTGCAAGGCAGCCCAGCCAGGCAGCAGTGATCTAAAAGCATGCAAAGGAATTGTTGTTAGAGAGACCCCCCCCCCACACCACTTGGGTTCTTGAGGCCAGAGTCATCCTGTGATTTTAGATGACTGCCCAATACAAAGTGTGTGATGATCAGAGCATCATGGGAAGAAGCCTGTGTGGTCAGAGAAGATCACACTGATGATAAAGCTAATATGAGCTAGCAACAGGAGACTTGCAGAACTCAGGCATGCTAGAGGACCTTGGTTTTCTGAAATCCACTTTCTCAGACAAATAGGAATAGTGCTACCTCAAGACCCAGCTATACCACTCCTAGGCATATATCCAAACATGCTCAAGCATACAACAAGGACATTTGCTCAACCATGTTTGTAGCAGCTTTATTTGTAATAGCCAGAAGCTGGAAACAACCCAGATGCCCCTCAGTTGAGGAACGGATACAGAAACTGTGGTACATTTACACAGTGGAATACTACTCAGCAATTAAAAACAAAGAAATCACGAAAATTGCAGGCAAATGGTGAGATCTAGAATAGATCATCCTGAGTGAGGTATCCCAGAAGCAGAAAGATACATTTTTCATTTCTAAATACAGCATGAAGAGGCTAAGTAAGTCTGTGGCTACCGTTAGTAGAGGCTGATAAATTGCTCCAGCCTCTTTGCTTTCCCTAAATGAAGGGAGCAGAAGTGAGCTCATGAAGCTCAGGGAGCAGTGGAGGCCTTCTGCTTGTAAATGGCACTGTGTAAACACATTGACTGGGCTCAGGTGGAGGACAGAGATGCTTGCCTCTGAGAAGGATAAAAACTTGCATCCCAATTCCCATCAAAATGCCAACACATTTTTTTACAGACATCGAAAGAACAATTCTCAATATCATACGGTAAAACAAAAAGCCCAGAATTGCTAAAACAATCCTGTACAATAAAAGAGTCTTTTGAAAAAAAAAAAAATCTTCTGGAGGTATCTCCATCCCTGATCTCAAGCTGTACTATAGAGCAATAGTAATAAAAATGGCATGGTACTGGCATAGAAACAGACTGGTGGATCAATGGAATTGAATCGAAGACTCAGAAATAAGTCCACACACCTATAGAAACTTAATTTTTGACAAAAAAGCCAAAACCATACAATGGAAAAAAGATAGCATCTTCAATAAATGGTGCTGGTCTAACTGGATGTCTACATGTAGAAAAAAATGCAAATAGACCCATACTTATCACCCTGTACAAAAGTAAAGTCCAAATGGATCAAAGACCTCAATATAAAACCAGAAATACTAAATCTGTTAGAAGAAAATTTGGGGAAAAGCCTTGACCTCATTGGCACAGGAGACAACTTCCTGAACAGAACACCAACAGCACAGGCTCTAAGAGCAACAATCAATAAATGGGACCTTATGAAACTGAAAAGCTTATGTAAAGCAAAGAACACTGTTGTCAGAACAAAATGACAGCCTGCAGACTGGGAAAAGATCTTCACCAACCTTACATCTGAGAGAGGGCTAATATCCAGAATATATAAAGAACTCAAGAAGTTAAACAACACCAAACCAAGTAATACAATTAAAAAATGGGGTGGAGCTAAACAGAGAATTATCAATGGAGGAATATCGAATGGCAGAGAAATGTCCTTAGTCATCTGAGAAATGCAAATCAAAACAACCATGAGATTACATTTCACATCCATCAGAATGGCTAAGATCAAAAACTCAAGGGATGATGCATGCTGGAGAGGATGTGGAGAAAGAGGAATCCTCTTCCATTGCTGGTGGGAAGGTAACCTTGTACAACCACTTTGGAAATCAATCTGCTGCTTTCTCAGACAATTAAGAATAGTGTTACCTCAAGATCCAGCCATACCACTCCTGGGCATATATCCAAAAGATGCTAAACCATACAACAAGGACATTTGCTCAACTACGTTCATAGCAGCTTCATTTGTAATAGCAGAATCTGGAAACAACCTAGATGTTCCTCATCTGAAGAATGAATGCAGAAATTCTGGTACATCTACAAAATGGAATACTACTCAGTAATTAAAAACAAGGAAATCATGAAATTTGCAGTGAAATGGTAGGAACTAGGAAAGATCACCTCACCTCCTGCATGAGGTAACCCAGAAGCAGAAGGACACATGGTATATACTCACTTTTAAGTAGATATTAACTATATTAACTTTTAAGTAGATATAAAATATAGAATAAACATAATAAAATCTATAGTCCTATAGAAGCTAAACAAATAAAGAGGACCATAGGGAAGAGGCTGAAATCTCACTCAGAAGGGCAAACATGATAGACATTGGAAGTAGGAGAAGAGACGGAACAGGACAGGAGCCCTCCACAAGGGGCCTCTGAAAGACTGCCCATAATGGTATGGAAGGAGATACTGAGACTCATAGCCAAACTTTGGGCAGAGTGCGGAAAACCTTATGGAAGAAGAGGGAGTAGAAAGATCTGGAGGGGACAATAACTCCACAAAGAGACCAACAGAGCTAAAAAATCTGGGCACAGGGGCCTCTGCAGAGACCGATACCTCCAACCAAGGACCATGCATGGAGAGGACCTAGAACCACTGCTCAGAGGAAGCCCATGGGCTGCTCAGTTTCCAAGTGGGTTCCCTAGTAAGGGGGCCAGGGGCTGCCTCAGACATGAACTCAGTGGCTGGCTCTTTGATCACCTCCCCCTGAGGGGGTGCAGCCTTGCCAGGCCACAGAGGAATACAATGTAGCCAGTCCTGATGAGACTTGATAGGCTAGGATCAGATAGAAGGGCAGGTGGTCCTCCCCTATCAGGGGGATAGGGAAAGGGTATAGTGGGAGAAGAGGGAAGGTGAGTAGGACTGGGAGGAGATGGAGGGGGCTACAGCTAGGATACAAAGTGAGTAAATTATAATTGAAAAATAAAAAAAAGAAATTGCATCCCCACTCTTGGGCCCCTATTACAGGAGCTTGTGGCTTGGGCTTTGGTTTAATTGAAACATTTCTTACCTGACACACATATCTAGTGAGGCCCAGACAAAACAATGCCTCTCTTCATGTACTTTTTCCATGGAAGTATAATACTTCTTATTAGGTGAAGGCATTTTTTTTTCTCTTTTTGGTGTTGTAGTTTTAATTTGTGAAAACATGATACAGAGGAGTAAAATAAACTTCACATCAACATAATTGCAGGAAATAACAAAATAACAACTTGGCCTCCTGGAAACACTCAGGCCAAAACTCTGGCTTCCAGTCACCTGAGATACCCTAACATAGTACGTTCTTCCTTGTATTGTCCTTAGCCCCTAGGAAGGCTTATCTTGAAGACACTCAGTCCTGTCCAGTGCCATGTCTTATGGAAGCTCCTCCATATCCTGTGATCAATAACTACTCTCCTGACTCCAGAACAGACAATGACCTCCCATCCTCTTACCATTCTGTGACACTTTTGTGGGCTCTGATGACTGAAGTCTCAATGTCTATCGGGTGGTATCTCATGCCTCGCAGTTCCATGGCTTCATCCAGTGCCCCCACCACATAGAGGGCATCATGGCGCTCTGTTGGAGAAGAAACCAAGTACCAATCAAATCCTTTGTTTTATTGTTCTGTTTTCTCCAGAGCAAGGAAAGGAGATCCAGGTCTAAGAGTGGCTGGCTCCTTTCTTCTGGGGAGTGTTGCCTGCTGCAGGTTCAGGCATTCTTTTAATCTTCCCAGAGGATGGATGTCCAGCCACTAGGTTCTCATTTTTTTATTTTGTTTTGTTTTTCTTCTTAGACATTTGTATGTATGTGTGCGTGTGGAGGCCACAGGTCAATGTGGTATTTTCCTCCATCACTCTCCACATCATTTTATGAGACAGGATCTTCCACTGAACCTGGAGCTCAGTAATTTAGTAATTCAGCAAGGATGGCTAGCTAGCAAGCCCCAGGGATCCCAAAAGGCCATATCTGGCTTTTCTTAGACATTTGTATGAATGTGTATTAATTATACAAAATAGCAAGTTACATTATGATGCTTTCATACAGGTATACAGCATGCTTCTCTATCACCACCCTTTTACCCCTCTTCACTTTTTATCCTATTCTGCCTAATTTCTGAATCTGTCACTCTTCTTTTGGACCAGCTTCTAACATCAGACATAAGATCACATCTTCATCAGTGACTAAGGGTCTTAGCAAGTGATCAAGGGAGTTATCACCAGTCATCACTTCCAAGATTGGGCTCTGTGGGGTGTAACTCACTTGCAAGTCCCTCAAGGCTTCACCTGTTCAAAGGCACAAAGGTTACATCTCAGCCAAAATGGGCCAGGTTCCCTCAGCTCAGTTACAGGAGTTTTTCAGTGCATTCATCTCACGTGTAAATGGGAAGGAAAGCATAGTCTATGACCATGTTCATGAAGATTTCTTTAGTCCAGGTAGCCAGGACATTTGTGTATGTTTGTGTGAGCACATGTACACATGCAAATGCCTATGCCTATGGAGAGGAGAGGTGAGCATCAGGTGGCTTCCTCAACTGATCTCCATCTCCCAACCGGATGCAGGATCTCTTACTTAAACACAACACTAATAAGATTTCTCCAAAGTTCCCTGTCTGACTTCTGTGAGCTGGGATTTCAGGCATGCTAACATGCCTACCAAACATTTGTTAGTTCTGGAGATTAAATTCTGGTTTTCATCTGTTGAGTCATTTCCCCAGGCCCCACAAGACTTTTATCATGTAAGAAAATCTTATAATAGTCAAAGTGTGGTCAGCCCTATCTTTGCTTAAAAATAGGAACTTTATCCTTAATTTTTAACCTAAAATTTAATGTAATAAGTGTGTCAGGAAAAATTTGAAATGACTACCATAAAGTAACAGCACATAAACCTTTCCTAATCTAAGTAGACAAGCAAGATGGAGGCCTCTACTTACTTGCTTCTGCTTACCACAAAGCTTTGTTTCCTTGTTCGGAGTGTGAGTTCATGCAATCATTCAGGGACCAGTGAGGTGGAGACAACAACCATACTCTACTGCCCATTCCCAGGGTCTTAGCTGGGCAGGATTCTACAGATCTTCCTTGAGGGGTGTAAACTGATACCATCTTTTACAACTGAACTCTATATCCTTGATTAAATGAGCCTGTGACTACCCATCATGAAACTGCTATACAGGCATACTCTACCCCCTAAATGCAGAACTCAGATTAGTACATTAGGTGATTTAGGAAGCCTCAACAAAATTTAGAATCTTATCGGCCCAGGAGTTTGGTCTCACCATGACTCTAAAAGTACATGGTAAAATAAGCTTCCTCTATTTTTACCTGGATTAGGGAGGTGAGAAAGGACTATGAGGAAGATAACTGATATTCAGGGAAGTTATTTACTTTGTGCATGTGTTTGTGGGTACCTGCTCATAGGCTATCTTCCTTCAATTGCTCTCCACTTTACTTTTTGAGACAGGGTCTCTCACTGAACCTGAAATTTGTTGATTTGGCTAGGTTGGCTGGCCTGTGAGTGCCAGGAATCTACCTATTTTGCTTTCCTTGTCCTGGGAATATAGGTGTGTGTGGCTGCACCTGGCTTTTTACATGAGTGCTGGGGATCTGAATGCAGGTCCTAATTCTTGCATAGCAAGCACTTTACCAACTGAACTACCTTCCCCAGCTCCTAACAATATTCTTTGTAATACATGAGCCTCAGGCATGTACTCTGCCACAGAGCCACCTCCTAAGCTTGTGAGTATGTTTTGGTATCTTGGCTTCATGAAATATTCCAGTGTGGTTCTCCACATGGAAGCACAGGAAGCTAGCAACAATGTATACTACTGCGAAACTTGGGGCTGTGTCCTAAGCAATGGGAGTGGGAAGGTCAAGTTGCTGTCTGTCAGTGCCCAGCGCCTCAGGACTACTCCTTTCCAAATGTCACGGGAGTGTTCCTGGTAGGGACAACATGTAGCCTCTGGAACTTGCAAAGACACTAAGCACACTTCACCATACAGAGTGTTGGGCTCATGTTTAGCTTTGCCTTTGGTCTTGGTTCTCAGAAAGACAAAGAAGGGTATGCACAGCTCTGTCTACTGCATTTACATTATACCTGCCAGTGTGTACACGTTCATGTATATGTAGCTGTAAAGGTACATACATATTCATGAGCGTGGAAGCCAGAAAACAGCTTCAGATATTTTCTTTTTTTTTTCCCCTTCACTTTTCTTTTGAGTTACATTTTATTAACTTTGTATCCCAGCTGTATCCCACTCTCTCATTCCCTCCCAATTCTACCCTCCCTCCCTCATCTCCTCCCTGCCCCTTTCCAAGTCCACTGATAGGGGAGGACCCTTGGCTGCTATTCATCTTGTTTGTTGAGACAGGGTCTCTCTCATTCAACTTGGAGACAATCTGTCTAGGTTGATTGGCTATATGAGCCCAGAGAGTTAACTTCTAGCCCTAAGATCATAAGAAACACATCCTTGAGTTCTGGGGAGTAAACTCAGGTCTTCTATTTACATGGTAAACACTTTACCAACTGCACTATCTGCCCAGCCCCTCCTTGGCTCTCAAGGTCAGGCTCTTTCAGATCAGTAAGGGCAAGCAGAGGTCCTGGTGGCTCTCAAACCTCAAGGCCATTTCAGTGTTGGTCAAACTCAACTTCTGTCCAGTGTGTGTCATCTCCCAGCCTGGACTTACCTCCATTTGCATCTGTGAGCTCAGTTCTCCTCAGGAAGCCCAGGTAGCCTGTTCGGGCCCAGATGGTCTGGGTGTCTCCAAAACTCAATCGGGAGTTGAAATGATCAGACTGGAGAGATTCATCTCCATAAATGGTAAAATAGCCACTGGCATTGTGGGCACTGTGGACCCAGATCTGTGGACAGATGAAACATCACTGTGTATGAGCCACGCTGTGCAACCAGCCTTCTCCAGGGAAGAAAAGCTAACTGTCTCTACAACTCAGGAAGTTATTTTTCACAATGGCCAAGGCTTCCTTGGTTCAGTCTGAATACAGTGCAATGGTGGTTTCTATCAAGTGTATGGGGAGGGTGAAGTGGGGGTTGGGGCAGGGAAGATGGATGCCCACAGAGTTCTCTATAATAAGAGCTCTGAGATAAGCTTCACCTCCCCCTGAGGGGGAAGCAGCATTACCAGGCCACAGAAGAAGACAATGCAGCCACTCCTGATGAGACCTAATTCACTAGGATCAGAAGGAAGGAAAGAAGACCTCCCCTATCAGTGGACTTGGGGAGGGGCATATATGCAGATGGTGGAGGAAGGGAGGGATTGGGACAGAAGGAGGGAGGAAACCACAGGGGGGATACAAAGTGAATAAAGTGTGATTAATAAAAGAATTAAAAAAATATAATTTAATACATAAAAAAACAAAAACAAAAGATAAGCTTCAGTCAAACAATCAAATAAGCCATTCACCTGCTGAAAATTTCATTAAAGCAGATTACTGGAAGATTTTAAAGTGCACAAAGTTGTATGAGTTTCCTTGTAGTTTTCCAAATGTGATGATTATTTCTAAGAAAACTAGGAAAATGCTCAAAACTTTAAGATTGTGATTTACATATTTTATGAAGCAGACTATGATAAAGTAACACAAAGTATGATGAAGGGGCAAAGTCAACAGAAAAGACAGACAGGTCTATGTGGGGTCTGTGGCAGAATGGTCAGGTAGAGGCTGACACAGATGCAAAGCAATAGTTGTGGATGATATAGCCAAGGAAAGGCCTTGGCTCCCACACAATTCCAAAGACATCCATACAATGTATGCAGTGATGTTGGTACACAGGGCTAGGCCCATGAACAGGGCTTTTAGATTTTACTGTTTGCAGCATAGGCATTCTGAGATTGGATATTTTGTTATTTTATTAACACTGAAATATGGCTAAGTACCTTGAAGTGAAAACCTCACCAGTACTATTTCCCACTGTATCCCAATACCCCAGAATAGTACCTGGATCCTAGCAGATAATTACTAAGCACCTGCTGAAATAGTTAAAGGTAACCTACAAATAGTAGGACAACAGCAGATGAGGCAGAGACAACTGGTTTCTGTTTACCAATATGTAATATTTCCTTGCTAAGACAATTGCAACAGATTATATTGGCTGTCAACTTGAGATGATCTAGATTTACTTTGGAGACAAATCTCTGGGCACATGTGTGAGGGGTTTTTTGATTAAATGCAGACAGTTCCACTTAGTAAGCTCCAGACTATATAAAAAGGAGAAAGCCAGCTGAACACCATCATTCTTACCATGCTTCCTCATACAATATAACCAATTGTCTTGAGCTCCTTGAGTTCCTGACATCATGACCGACATGCCATGATGGACTATAATCTGGGACCATAAGCCAAAAATAAACTCTTCCTTATTTTGCTTTTGTCATAGCCACAAGACAAGTAACTAGTACAGACAATGCCATATAATTCAGTCTTAAAAGGGGAAAATGGAAGCCTGCTATTTCTAACAATATGAGGGAAAGAAGTCAGGGCAAGACACATACCCCTTAATCTCAGATGTGGATTCTGAAAGATGCTCATAGAAAGCAGTGAGCCAAACAGCTGCCACTGTTGTCTGAGGGTGGACAGGGATGTTGACTGAAGGATACTAGCCTTCATTTAGATGATGAAGGACTTCTGGGAGTTAACATACAACACACAGACTGTGTTTTTTGGCCTGAAATTTAGCTACAGAACTTAAAAGTTCTCACTACACTTATGAGGTGACTGTAAGTCATTTTACAATGCATACAACCACTACTATGTCACAAATATTATGAGCACACCTTGACTTATACACTTTATTTGCCAATTACGATCAATCAAGTAGGAATAAAGATATAAAAAAGTCAACTTCCTGACATATCCAGTCCTGGTTGCCTTGTGAAGAGAACTCTGAATGTAACACTTGATTAACCTAGTTAAGATCTTTTTACATAATCACAAGATTCAAACAAAGGGTCACAAAGTTGCCAGACAAGAAAAGGATGTGGAGGGTAGAAATGGTTAGGACTTGATCGTGAGTCATGTCTACCCACGTGCTCTGTGGAAATATGTTCCTGGGTGGGCTGGTACTGTCCTGCTGCTGGTGACATGTAGGATAGAGGATGTAGGCATGACTACACAAAGATATACTCAGCAGGGAAGCCAAGGCAGAAGCAGAATAACTGGATGGAAAGGTGATACGACACTATATGGAGAGCCTAAGACTTGGGCTGTGTTGTGCCCTCAACTTTCTCAGAAAAATCTTATCAGTGGAGAGAACAAGAGAAAGGACAAGGTGTGACACTTGGTCTTACCAAATAGCATCAGGACCCGGCCGATATTAGTGGTAAAAAAAACCTTAGACAGAGGCTTGATGAGATATTTTTCTCCAACCACACCTTGTCAACAGCATGAGGGCATCAAATGATAGGGAACCACAAGGGTGGAATTTCATCACAAGTGACTACTGGTTGCTCTCTGATCTAAAACACACATCTAACTACTACTTTGCTATTCGGTGGGTGTTTGAGTTTTGTGGCCATTGTGCTAGGTGTAGCTTTGTTCACTCTGTAGGTTTCTATAATGTCCTGATGAAGAAGTTCTTAGAAACAGAGAAGGCTCATGTGAATACTCTCTAGAGTAAGTCTGCAGAGATCAAGCTTGCTGTGCTTTAAAATTCTCTGATAACAGTGTCTCCTGTGTCCTTCCGGGTATGCTACTCTATACTATTGAGTTTTCCAGAGATGTCTGAAGCTGGAAAGCACATCTCCAGCTCCTTCCTGGCCACCTTGACTTGCCTCATGTTAGCAGCATGAGCTGTTGATGATAGCAGGTGTCAAAGCAAGACAGCCCCAGAGGACTGATCTGGGAGGACACATCTGGAAGACTCTCCATGACTCACCTCTGTTATAGATGTTTTGGTTTATGGTATGTAAACATGTTTTTGTTAAAATTTCAAGTTGGGGATTTTAGTTTGTCCACACCTGTTAAGTATCTTATGTAAAGCCTGGTCTTTGCCAGGTAGACTTAGTTGAATTCTGAGGATTTTGAGGGGTATGAATATGACAGCCCAGAGGAAGAAGGGTAAATACTTGGAAGATGACTGCTTGCTGCTGGTTCATTCTGCTGCTGCATTTGCTGTTTGCAGAATTGCTGGTTACCTGGACTTCTGGATTGCTGGATGACTGATATTAGTATTGCCACCAAAAGAATTCTATGACCCTACCCCATGGGAAGTAGCAGAGAGAACTATGTCCTTGTCCCCACTAACCTTTCCCTCTTACCCGATGTTGGGGGGTTGGAAGGGAGGTATTTAATAACCCTAAACAAAGTAGGTTTGGTAAAAAATCAAGGTCAACACACCTCTCCAAGGTGGGAGTCCCCCAGCGGTCCTTTTGTTTCTGGATTGGCAATAATGATCCGGACCCCAGGAAGTATCTGTTTGAGAGAAGAGAGGAGACAATTTCTGATTGTGGCTAAAAAGGCAGACAGGTATCACACTCTTCCTTAACAAACTTGCCTCAGTGATAAGTGTCCATTTCCTTTCCAAAGACCATTTAGAGAGCATCATGGCATGAAGTTAAGTGTGTGCCATTACCATGCAATGTTCTCATTACCAATGCTCTACAATTCTACAGTCTGGGGCACAGGGACTTTATCTGATTGCCAATCAGATCTCAAAGCTGATAGAAGACCAGATCTGACCATTTAAAACAGAATTATGAAACAAGATCCATGTTAAATATTGCAGCATTTCACACAGTCTGATGTGCAAAATTTGAATTTGCATATACTGATTTAACAGCATGGCATATAGGGATTAAGGAAGGAGGTAGGCCAGAATCAACTTGAACTTGGGAAGTTCTGGAGGGGAATTTGCAGGGATGCATGTGGACTAAAGGTAACCAATCTCCCAATGATTCTTGGTAAATGATTCATCAGAGGATTCTTTTGTGGTTGGTAGAAGTAAAAGTTTGGGTCACTCCTAGCCTAGCCTGGTTTAACCAGCCTTGTCAAAACATGGTGGACTTCTCTTTAAGTGAAGATCCTGACTGAAGGCAATATAGCAGAATAATTGACAGAGGAAGGAACCCAATATCTTTCTCTGCCCTCTGCATGTGTCTGTGAACATGGGCATGTATACCACATATACATGCATAAATAAAACAAACTTAAAAATAGAACTATGTTGAATGTAGAATGAATCGACATTTGGGGCAAATGTAAGTTTAAATATATTTTTCATTCTCTGAAGACTATAACAATGTGACAGACACTAAAATAATAGCTAATCGCTGGGAACCATACTTCTTTAGTATGATATCTTGATTTTTTAACTAGACAACTAGGATAACAAGAATAGGATAGTTCACAGCCTTTGCTTCCATTAAGTATGAAGAAGTGACTAAGTAGTAGTCAGTGGTATTTAAGTGTAAGAAAGTATGAGAACCTTCTCAAGGTTCTGAAAGTCTTTTCTCCTTTTGAGAGCTAGAACATGGGACTAACAAATGAACTGGAACAGTCATATTAGAACCTTGGTACTCCCTGAGGACAGAGGCCATAGAGATAGGTAGCACTCAGGCTTCTAGTTGCTCCAATGCAGCATAACTTTGCTATTTAAAAAAAACAAAAACAAAAACAAAACAGTGTTCACAACACTGTTACTGACTTCCTGTACTCATAGCCAAACCATCCTGAAACATTGTCTTTAATGATCTTTTTTTCCAGGGTAAAACATCGTCTCTGAGAACACATTGCTTCACACTTTAAAACACATTATTCCTTACTCACCTTTATGCTGGGATGGGATTGACACTTTTAATACTTACTTTTCCAGACTCCATCAGAGGTAAGCTGTGAGGAGATCCTCTTTCTACCAACCGTACTCTGTAAGTGGAAACACACATCACTCAGTGGGTTTTTTGGGTCACACTGTCTTTTGCCACCTTTAGTATATGGCTTGAGCTTGGCAGGCTATTAAGGTAAGTGAATTGTTAGTATTTTCTTACGGCAAAGGTACAAATCCCAGAAAGGGCTACTGATAGCAGAGGCAATAATGCCCTCGCAAGATCAAATGGCAAAAATACATTAGTAATGGCCACAGAAAAAGGTTATGGAGCCATATTTGCCCTATTTGCAAAACACCTGGAAAGATGCCTCTGTACTCAAAGGGGAAAGATGAACATTAATTGGCATCCTTTTACATGATGGGTTCCTGGGCCATGAACTTTAGGCCTACATAGTTGGTATAGCTCTGCTTAGGTGTAGACAATCTGCTAAGAAAGGCAGAGCCCCTGGGCTCAGTAGTCACAGCTGGCCTGCTAAACTAAGAGTGCATGAGTTGAAAGTCCTCTCTAGAAGGAAAATGGTTTTTAGTCTAAAGCATAGTTAATGTTAACTTTGTCTAGAGAGCTGCAAAAACAAACAAACAAACAAAAAAAAACAAAAAAAAAAAACAAAAAAAACCTTGGCTGACCACAACCTGAGCTGGCTTATTGTCCTTTCTAGAGATTTACCTTTCAGCCTCGGTGATCTTCACTACTCAATTTTCCCCTCTCACCAGTTAAATAAGGATTAGATACTGTTCACTTACCCACAAGGCAACTTTATGCATATATTTGTGTATGTATGAATGTGTGTGTATGTGTGTGTGTGTGTGTGTGTGTGTGTGTGTGTGTGTGTGTGTGTGTAAGGGCGGGTGGGGTGGAGGCCAGAGGTCAATACCTTCTACTTTGTTTTTGTTTCTTTGTTTGTTTTTTTGAGTCAGAGAATTTCACTGGCCTGGAACTTGCTAAGTAGGCTAGGCTGGCTGCCTAGAAAGCTCCAGGGATTTACTGTTTCTGCCTTCTCAGAGCTGATAATATAAACTTGTCATCATGCCTGACTTTTTGACAATTTTTATTCTCACAAAACAATGAAAAAACAAGCACTTGAACAGAAAACACAAGGTGGAAAAGAGAGAACTGGAAGTAGGTTTGAGGTTAGTGCAAAATTGGATCACAATTTTATGAACTTTATCCCTATATTCCTTTAAGACACAGCATACAGAAGTTCTTAGCAAATGACTTAGCAAAGGCCATGGGAGGAGAAAAAACAGAAGAAGCATTGCAGTACACATCAAAGGGCTAATTTTCTGAACAAATAAAGGAAGTGCACAGCTACCAACAAGGTGATCCGACATCACATTTATGTTCTACATAGTGACTCTGAACTCTGAGTAAGACCTAGGGAAGGCCTGAGCTCTGCACTGTCGTCCTCACTCTGAGGACATTAACTGACACTATCAGCTTACTGGGCAAGATGAATGAACTAAGAACACCATGTGCCTATCCAAGGCCTCCATTGCAGTCTCTGAGTTACAAAGGTTAGTGGCTATTACTAATACTTACTTATTAAGAGCTGATTTATAAAGTTAAATCCTTGGCATAAGACTAAGGAGAGGTGGGCTAGCTGGAGAGTAGGAAAAGGCTCCAAAATTCAGAACTAGGCTGAAGCCTATTTAAAAGGAGCTCAGCCGTGTCACTATGGTTGCATAGTTCAACCAGAAACAGGCTCCTCCTTTCATACATGTTTAGTTCATGGGATATTTGAATAGGATGAGAAAAGTGAACAATACATATTTCATGAGGCACCAAGAAAATGGTTGGAAGCAAGCTCTGTGGTCGACTGGGATTCATTCAGGAATGGAAAATAAAAATTCTTATCAAAATACCCATGAAAGAGATTCTACAAAAGGCAAATTCCTTCAGCTTTCTCCATGAGGATATTTATCTGATTTTCAAGTATACTTCAGAGTACAGTTTGAAATTCTGGTTAACCAGAGAAATCACATTACATCATGATCCTGTGATCACATTCTAACATCAAGTTCAGTCAAACAGTGAGTTAAAGACTTCCCCTGTCTGAAGAGAGCCAAAGCTGAAAAAGAAGAGGAAAAAAGTGAATAATAAAGATTAAAAATCTCATCTAACCTGAAGGCATCTGTCAGTCACTTCAGCCAGAGGGACAATAGGCCTCAGGGAACAGGTCAAGAATGACCAAATATGGAGTAGTATGACTGCCCGTGGACAATTGTTAGGATAGTCATCTGTCAGAGGCCAACGTTCAACAAAAAATGCATATGCTGTACCCATGGCCCAGCTTCTATCTGCTAGAACCACACACGTTACAGCAGACCCCAACTCTTTCCAGAAAATCCTAGAATGTACTTGGAAAAGTATACAGGAACACTGGCACAGAAACCACAAAAGCACAGATTCAGGATACCATGTGCACACACACATACAGAACACATCTGTGTACATGCAACACATACAATACTCCCAATACACCAATGAGAACCACACACACACACACACACACACATACACACAGACATGTATACACATGGAAGCCCTTGTTTGCTTGTAATACCATTTTACAATCATGGGCATACATATGTAGCCCACAGATAACATACTGCTCAGATGCTCTTACATTTTCAATGTACAGTACCCTCCCCAACATAATGAGCCTATGTGCACATATCCGGTACTCCCACACCACACCACACACACATATGCAGAACTCATGCTACTCACACAATGCACACAGCAGAGAGCCCCTGGGCAAATAAATGTCTGATTTTACCCTTGCTTCTCCTATACTGCTGCTGACCAACATAAGACCACTGAGGTGCCTTTTTCTCTGTTTACTGCTCTTGGAAATCTTGACACCCAGATATTCACTAGATAGCAATAGTCTAGATTCCATGCTTTTCTTTCATTTCTTCCTGCCTCCCTTCCTCCCAGGATGGTTCTCATGAAGCCCAAATGTGTTATGTAACAGACTTTCTGGTCTTCCTACCTCTACCTGCTGGGATTAATGGCATGTACCACTACCTCCAATTTATAGAATTCTAGAGGTGGAACACGGGGTTTCTTACATGTTAACCTAAGCAAATACTCTATTAACTGAACTTTATCCCCAGCCATAGAAGACATACTGCTCAACCACACCCTTTAATCATGACTTCAGTTAATAAGGCAAACAAATTTCCACTCTAGATCTTTATACTAGCATTGGGTTAAGGTCTGACAATCTGCTAAAACTGTTTCTTGAAATGTCTGAGAAGCATTTTCCATTCCTATCTAAAGATGGAACAATTCAAATGCTTTGGAAAAGATCAAACTGAAAGAGATCAAGCAACTATGAATTCACTTTAAATGAATACACAGTAAATTATACTTTAAGAATTAATAACAATGCTCAAATATCCCTTGAATACTTTCTCTTGTATATGTGGGAACTAAACTTACCCTGCAAAACTGGAGAAATATGATCCTCATTATATGTGACAGAAATGCTCTCCATGGCAACTTGGCTATAAACACAGATTGCCAAATCCCTAACATTGGTGCTACAAGAATAAAATGGGTATTAAACACAGAGGCATAAAACCAAGGAGAAATGGTAATGAATCTATTTAATCACTTCCTCCTGTAGGATAGACATACTGAGATCTTTATCTTAATCTCTAAGATTGAGATCAATCTGTTCTCTCTCCTTCTTTCCCTCACAGTACATAGCATACTGACAAACTAAGGTTAATTAAGTGATAATTGGGCAGGTGTCTTGACACTCCCAAGTGAATGTCCCATTAAATCAATTGGTAGAGTAATTAATCCTTGTGACAAATCTTCACATAGCTGTAATGAGAAAACCACTACCCTACTTTCATATGAACACCAGAGGAATGAAAAAGGATCAACATTTTCAGAAACTCTCCTGTCTCACTGCCTTTCAGCGGTTGGCATTGCATTTTCTCTGAGGGTAGCACATCAGGGTGTTGTGGATGGAGACATTAGGCCTCTGTAGGTAAGACTTACCTCACTACTACAATCTCCATCCTCTTTTTGCCAAAAGCTCCCAGCACATTTCAAGTTACCCTTAGAACCTCAGAGCTTTAGAGGTACCGCAAAGACTAAATTTATTGTGCCCATCACAAACAGAAAATTCGAGACCTTAGAACTAACACCTTGTCCCCAGGTCATAAGCAGGGAGATATAGCTCCTGTCTGATCCTGGAGCCCCTATGTCATAGAAGCTGCAACACAATGTATATTTCACATATGTCAATCAAGGTCAATAGTGCTGAGGATGTAAAACCTGGGTATTATTTTCTCCTGGGAAGAGGTGGCTACAGTGTAGATGAGACAGTAATTGAGTTGAGAATGACAGACTCAGCTTCTTAAGGGGAAGTGAATAGGGGGGAAGAGGGATGGAGGGTGAGGCTGAGAGGAGATGAGAGAGAGGGCTACAATTGGGATAGAAAATGAATAAATTGTAAAGAAAAAACAACTTGTTTTTAAAGGCTATGAGGGAAAAAATCCTGAAGGAACACCAACCATATGGAATCCCAGAGAATGCAGATGGGGCTGTCAGTGTCTCTGAAGGTCAGGAAGGTGGACCTCCACTGGCCAATGGAGTGAGGTGGGCAGGACAGACTTACACAGAAGATCAAATAAGCAGGAACATTGCAAACACTTATCATCTTGATATTACAGCAGGGGATGGACTGAGTAGATAACTCAGTCAATAAAGTTGAGTTATACACACATATACTCTGCAGTGAAAAATGTAAGGAGAGTGTGTTGCAGAATGATAGAGTAAGGAGGCATCTCTCAGCCACAGATGGTAGGGAAGAGCTGCTGGGGCAAAAGAGAAGCAGGTGCATCTACCAAAGACAGTAGGCTAAAAAGGCCTGAGGCAGACCTGAGTGAAGAGAGTTGAGGAGTAAATTTCCAGGAAATGCTCTGGTGGCTGTGGAGTAGCCCTCAGTTTTTCTCTGATATAGATGAGAACTGAGCAGTTTATTTCAGGAAAACTGCACTGTATCATATCCAAGCTCTAAGAAGGTCCTTGGGCCAGTCCACCACACTGATGGAAGGTCTGCTCAGACACAGCCCATAAGTCTCAGGTAGCCCATGCAGGAGAAAATTATTCCTGATCATCACAATTGAGGACATTATCCAGTGAAGTTTGCTGACACATGGCCCCAAAACAATTTCTAGTACACAACTCACTGTCAAGTCTCATTCTAATTATTTTAATGACCAAAGCAGCTTAGTCAGGGAAGACTATTACTACCAACTTGAAATTAGAGCAAAAGTGTCATTCAGATGGCCTTAGTCAAGATCACAAAATTAATTGATCACAAAGGGCTAATCTTCGACATAGGCCTCCTGCTCTTTCCAGCAGTGCGGTGTGGATCTGATGTTGAACATAGATTACTTCATCACTACATACCATGCAGATCCTCATTTCACAGCACCTTCCCAACCCTTCCCTTCTCAGTAATGTCACAATGAAGACAAATGATGGGTTAAAAAGACTAATCGGGACACCTAAAGAAGCTAAGCAAGAAGGAGGACCCTTGGTAAGATGCTCAACCTTAATTCAGAAAAGCAAACAGGATGGACATTGGGAGAAGGAGAAAACAGGAAACAGGACAGGAGCCTAATACAGAGGGCCTCTGAAAAACTCTACCCAGCAGGGTATTAAAGCAGATACTGAGACTCATAACCAAACTCCGGGCAGAGTGTAGGGAATCTTATGAAAGAAGGGGGAGATAGAAAGACCTGGAGGGGACAGGACTTCCACAAGGAGAGCAACAGAACCAAAAAATCTGGGCACAAGAGTCTTTTCTGAGACAGATACTCCAGCCAAGGACCATGCATGGAGATAACCTAGGACCCCTGCACAGATGTAGCCCATGGTAGTTCAGTGTACAAGAGGGACATCTCTGACATGAACTCAATGGCTGGTTCTTTGATCACCTCCACCTGAGGGGGGAGCAGCCTTACCAGGCCACAGAGGAAGACAATGAAGCCAGTCCTGATGAGACCTGATAGACTAGGGTCAGACAGAAGAGGAGGAGGACCTCCCCTATCATTAGACTAGGGGAGGGGCTTAGGTGAAGAAGAGGGATGGTGGGATTGGGAAGAGATGGGGGAGGAGGCTACAGCTGGGATGCAAAGTGAATAAACTGTAATTAATAAAAAATAAAATTAAAAAAAGACTAATAGGTAAAGATAGTTCTTGAATGCTCATCTCAGGGCCAAACTTTAGGCAGAACACAGGGAAGAAGGAAGGGTGGGAAGAGAGAGACATGGAGAGGACAGGAGCACCACAAGGAGACCAACAAAACTAAAAGATCTGAGTCCAGGGGCTCCTGCAGAGACTGATGCACCAATGGAGGATCATGCATGGAGAGGACCTAGACTTTCTGCTTAGATGTGGCTGATTGGCAGCTCAGTCTCCACGTGGATCTCTGAGTGAGAGGAGCAGGGGCCACCTTTATCATGAACTCAGTTGACTGCTCTCTGATCACTCGCCCCTGATGATGCAGCCTTGCCAGGCTCCAGAAGAAGAGGATCCAGGCAATCCTGATGAGACTTAACAAGCTATGGGCAGATGGCAACAATGGAGAGCTCCTCCTTTCAGTGGACTAGGAAAAGGGAATGAGGGGAAGAGGGAGGGAGTTGAGAGAGGAAGCTTCAATTGGGATATATAATGAATAAATTGTGAAGAAAAGATTAAAATAAAGAAAAAATAGTTCTTGAGATATTCTATCCTTTTTCTCAAAAGAAAAACCCCACATCCAAACTTTAGGCCTTCCCTGTCACTCAGGTACTCCTAACACAAGAGGACATCCAACCACACTGCATTGAGAAATCTGCTCTTTCTGTATTTGGGGGCCAAGCCAAAAGCAGAACTGCTGGAGGGTCACTGCTGGTATGGAAACAAGGCTTACAGTAAGGTTTACAGTTGAGTGGATTTGTTTTCAGATGCAAAAGCTGTCACTTGGAGACCCTCACACCACTGACACCTTAACACTGAACAAATTATTCAGTTGTTCTAATGCTGGTGCTCCATAATTGAACTCTGACTAGCCAGAACCTGGTTCTGTAAAGGACAGTGCTGAGGAGTGTTTCAGGATATTTGATCATACTGTAAACCCTAACATTGTGTTGTTTATTGGAAAAACCTGTTTCTAGTTGTAGTATGGCTAAGCCATAGGACACACGTTTAATCCAAGAGCCTTCTGCTTGAATATTATAAACAGAACTAAATAAAGATAATCATAGGTCAAGAGGTAGAGCTAGAAACCAGTTTACAAGGAGTGAAGATAGGAAAAAAACTGAAGAGAGGAAGAAGTCAGGAGGATGGATAGAGAGGTACACAGGAAGTAGAAAGGGGACATTCAGTTTGAGTATTTTTTTTTTTTTCTTTGAGATGTCATGGGGAAGGAACATTCCTCTTTTGGGAACTTTGGCTGAAGAGAAAGGTCAGCTGGCTACTTTCTCTGCCTTTATGAACTAACACGCTTTCAACCCAACATCTGGCTCCTGGGTGTTCATTGCTAAAAATAAAATGTTTGAGATTTCTGTTGAAAAAACAACAACAATAACAAAAAAAAAAAAAAAAAAAAAAAAAAACAAACCCAAAAACCAAGAGGGAAAAGTAATTTTCATTGGTCCCTAGCCTCCATGTAAGGGGCTTTAATGCTACAGCCTCTGATCATCTGTGATGAAGTGAGAGTCTAACAGGATTGTGCAGGCCAGGTAGGCCACCTACACGAGTGCAGCTGGCTTCTGTTTGGTGCTGCTGCTATTGTAGCACTTGTTCTATGCACTGCAAGGTGTGGGCAGTGTCCTTGACCTCTACCAACTACATGGCAGAATATCACTTTTGAAGGCAAATTGTACCAATCAGAACTGGCTCCAGATACAGCCTAACATTGGCTATGGGTGCTCACAGGCTTGTGAGAGTAGGGAGTGGTGACTATCCTGGTCTCCTGGGGGTGGCCATGTTTCACCTGGCCAACAAATTAGGACCCCCCTCACTCTGCAGAGACACTAACTCTTGTCTCTGAAGAGTTTCAGCTGCCTACTAGGTAGGTGTACAAGCTGCATCCCATGCCCTCACCCCTAACCACACAAAGACTCTGGCTGTTTTCCCGGTGTTGATAGGTGAGTGAACGTCTAGAAAACACAGGGTAAACAGCATGCTACCTGCTTTAGAGCAACACATTCGTGTAAAACCTAGTCACCTATGCAATATATCAACCTATGCTTACATCTGTACAACAACGATGGAACATTCCCATGGCCACCAATTAGAACACAAACCATTTCAATAGAAAGTATTAATTTAAATAATAACATTTTTTCTTCTCTGATGGACATCTCAATTGGTCCTTCTAATTGAGACAGGGCTTCCTCCGAAAGGTCTTATCTTGAATGCCTGTGCCTTCTCTTCCTAAGACATACTTAATAAAAACAAAAAACAAAAACAAAAACACAAATGGGCACACACCAATAACTCCATTTAAAAATCTTGTTCAGTAGTTTCACAGAAAAGTCAAGTTTACTTCTACTTTAATTTTTTATAAAAACATATTTTGTTTTTACAAAATCTCTTTCTCTCCTTTCTCTCACACACATATACACATAGACACACTTCTCATGTAGAAATATATCTAGAACGCTGAGATATATTGACATACAAATTGGAGCCTGACTGAGATGGCCATGACTTCCAGTTTATCTGATACTTCTAGTCATACTATCAGACTTGTACTACCAAGTTTTTAATCTGTAAGTTTTAGCCAATTTGCACAGCCATGCACTTTATCCATATAATGATACTTTGAACAAGTAGTCATAGCTACTTTCATTCTAACTTGGATATATACTGGACCACCATGCTGGACCACCAACAATGGAGGAAGAGAGGAAAAGGAGAGAGAGGACAGAACCCATACCTGTCATGTCTCAGGGCTCTCATGTCAACATAGACAGTTGTGGGGTCAGGTCCAGATGTCCCCTGAAAACAACAACACAGTGTAGTTAATCTTTCTGCATGGAAAGAAGCTTTGTCTATACTCTCTACTAAAGGTAAGCAGTTTGGTAAAACCTTAAGCTGAATAAAAAACCCTAAGGACTAATGGTGCTAAACCAACTCCTCTCCAAGTAGCCTTTAACATCAAGTTTAACATCTAAATTCCCAAAAGGAACACCTTAGGATCACACTGGCCCTTCACAAAGCTTGACCCCAGCCACACATGTATAAGAATGAATGGAGGGATAGAACATATTTACAAGAAAAAGTTTGGTTGCAAAAGTGGGTTGTCAAGATAATAAGGGTCTCTTGCTCAGAAATTTCCACTACAGACATTCAGAAAGGCTATTTTTAGACCATAAGATTCTGAAGCAGAAGTGTGACAGGACCTGACAGATTGAGGAGGAAGATACAAGATTAATTATTTTGTTCTTTTAATCCTGCTTGTGCCTCTAGAAGGTTATTTTTGTCTGTGACATAAGTCAGAAAGGTTCTACGTTTCTCCAAATCAGCTGAGCAGTAAATACTCTGAGCTGTCTTCATTTAGCACAACAGTCCAGAAATTTCATCTCAGCATCATAAATATCTTCTAAAAATATACTGGACTGATCTCTGAGCAATGGCTTCTGCTAGAGGAAGGTCTGCATTATTGAAATGACAAAATAGTTTACATATAAGGCAATACAATAAGAAGGCAGAAAAACATGGCAAACACAACACATTTGTAAATGGAGTGGAGAAAGTTAAGCTCTTCAGAATTTACTTGAACTGTACTACATTTCTTTAAGAATCTCAATTTTGTACCAACAGTATGTTTAAATAAAAACAATGACATGTTGTTGGACATGTTGGTACATGCCTTTACTCCCAATGCTCAGGAAGAAGGGGCAGAGGCAGGTGGGTAGTTTTGAGTTCCAGGCCACCTAGGGCTACATACTGAAACACTGTCTAGAACAAAACAATTCCACCACCTTTTTGTTTTAATATTCAGGGACAGTGGTCACTGGGTTTATACCACCGAAAGCAGGAAAAAGGAAAACACATGCAAATAAGACTTGGATGTTTACAGTGTCAGTGGCCAACAAACGATGTTCTTTCCACCTTGTACTTACTCAGTGGAGATGTGTTATAGAGCAGCAGGTGGAAAAACACTATTGAAGTGATCAATATGAGACTCATAACCATAAGTGGTCAATTAAAAATAAGCAACAGGTTCTGAAAAATGGAGAATGGTGGGGAATAGAAGTAGACCCAATCAGCAAGTGAACCAATGATGGTGATACACCATCTATGTGGTGGTTTTCTAGGTGGTACCCCAGCTACAGGCCTACAGATTGCCTGTCAATCGCTGCATTGCCTTTCCAACTTGTCCCAGTGTTGGAAGCTGGAAAGGCAGGAGGTATGGATGTGGGTTATGCACTGGTGTGATGAACAGAAAAGTCCCCTACCTGCTCGGCCAGTGTCCACAGCCTGTGGGGCTACAAGCAGCAAGAGGGTGGGGACAAGAAAGAAGGAGAATACACCAGGCCAACAGACATCAAACACAAAGGACACACATAGGAGACACACAACAAAACAATGCAACAATAAAGGATGGGATGAAGAAAAGGGAGGGATGGAGTTGGGGGAGAATGCAGAAAGCAGGGAACAAAGTAAAAACAAGATCAAAACAATGTCAAATATGGAAACCATTAAAATTAATCACTATACTGTTAAAGGTAGAAAAAAAAATTGAAAAGATGTCAACATATCCACAGAGCACAAAAGAGAAATAGAGGACAGACCATAGTATATCAATTGTTTCAGTATCTATCAGTAATGTAGACAATGCATCTCTAGTGACTTTATGGTACTTTGAGCTTCCTCTTTCCAATGGCACTTGAATATATATATTATTGGTTCACTTCAAAGTATATATTTCATTGGTTCAATCTAACGACTTCAGTGAAACAGTTTTTAAAAGATGTATTTTATTTTTAATTATGTCTATGCAGGTATGTCTGTGTTTTTGAATGTGGGTGCTAATGCAGGGCACAGGTGTCAGATCTCCCTGGAGCTGGAGTTATGTCTGACACAGGTGCTGAGAAACAAACTCAAGCCACCTCTTCAGCTCCTTAAATAATTTTAAGTTTCTCACTATGCTAGTGAGGACAAGTATTTACAGTTATAATACCTTACCCTATTCATAAGATTAGTAGGAGAAAAGCATCAAAGGAGCATTTGAGGTCTGAAGGTAATTGCTCCCTCTTTATATATCAAGTATGATGTCAACCTGGGTTACATGCGACCCTGTCTCAAAAACAAAACAAAAAAACCCTAATTTTTTAGGGAGAGTGGTGGTGGGCTAGGCAAGCAAGTTTGGTCTGGGAAAAAGATAGTGAAAATCCAGCTAATTCACTGGCCTGTAATCTGCCAGTCTATGTTATTAGCTGTCAAGGGACCAGCCAAAGACTATCTAGTTTTGAAATGTTTTACTGGAACATGGCCCATTTGTTCACACATTATCTGTTTTTGCTTTAATCTGAACCTTCTGAAAAGAGCATACAACATCAGGCCTGGCCTCTTTACTATGACCCTGTAGAAAAACATGCCCAGTGAGGGCATCCTTTTACAGAGCTGGTAAGCAACATGCAAGTGCTCAGGCTAGAGAGTAGTGCAGCTTTGTGATCCCACTGAATTTAAATGACAAGCTCAGGTTCTGGTTCCTTGGTTCAAAGCATAGTCTGAAACCCAGAAACTTTTCTTGACTGTAACAAAGAACAAGTCAAATGATGGAGGATAAAGGTTCCATGATCTCAGACTGGAGGCTTAATTATCAAGGACAACATATAGCAGGAGAAAAACAGAATGTTGTAGTTGACAGTAACTAACTCCCCAGAACATGCAAAAATTCCTGACAACACTTTATTTTTACTTCTCTCATCTAAGAACATGGCAGAAGAAAACAAGTGGCTTGAAAGCTCAAATTAATTAAAATCTTATTTTAGCTATTTGTTTTATGCTGAGAGAGATTTATACTACCCTCTGAGCATTCTACTTTGTTCTATTTAATGATCAAGGACTCTTATTTTTCTCGCCATGATAACTGTATTTCTCTTTCTTTGTAGGAGTTTCAAAATTTAAGGTTGATTAGAACTATTATTATTGATTTAATTCTGCAACCTTATTTATACACAAGCTTTTCACTCAGATAAATCACTCAGCTTATCCAATGTGATAAAAAGTCAGCATTCAAATTTAATTTTTTTAAAAATTATTTTTCCTTAATTGGAAAACAACAACTGAGGTCTCCTTTGGGAGATAGAAGGCCATTATTTTTCCTTCTCTTCCTTTAATGAAAAGGGGATGCTAATTTTTATGTTCTCAGTAAGTGCAGAGAGTTTCTCTGCTTTAAATAGCAAGCAGTCAAGGCTATGGGAAATTGTCCCTAACATTGGATAAACAATAACAGTACTGTAGCAACAGATGTCAGGCTGGGCATAGTGGTGCATGCCTTTAATCCTAGCACTTGGGAGGTACAGGCAGGCTGATCTCTGAGTTTGAGGACAGCCTAGTCTATATTGTGAGTTCTAGGACAGCCACAGCTACAAAGTGAGACCTTGCTTTGAAAACAAAACAAAACAAATAAATAACAACAAAAAACTTTTGTTAAAGCTAATTAAATACTAAAGTTCTAATATCTACTTTCATCATAAATTCAACAAATTAAAATTATATCATTTTATGTCTCAAGTTTCTGAGAAATGTCATTCCTAAAATGAGAAATGGCTCATTCTTACAGATGTCTTTGTTTTTACTCCATATTTCTGTTAATTAGCAAAGCCCACTTAACCTCTCTAGGGCCTTCTCTCATTGTAAAAACCAATGACTAAACTTTATCCTTTATGTGTATGGGTGGATCTAACTAGATCCTAATCAAGATGTTGGATACATTTTGCAGCCCCCTTCCCCCCAAGGGAGGAGCAGCCTTGCCAGGCCACAGAGGAAGACATTGCAGCCACTCCTGATGAGACCTGATAGGCTAGGGTCAGATGGAAGGGAGGAGGTCCTCCCCTATCAGTGGACTTGGAGAGGGGCATGGGAGGAGATGAGGGAGCAAGGGTGGGATGCTGAGGGAATGAGTTTATTCTGAAGAAAACTCAGAAGTGCTACATAGGGGACACTAAGCTCTGACCAAGTGAGTATTCTTCATCTAACTGATGCAACTTCTGCTGAAATGGTTAAAGGACTCCAGTTTCAGCACTTTTCTGAAACTTAGCCATACTCAGAAGTGACAGCATCAATATTTGTGAGTGTGTTGTGCTCTGAAGAGGGTCATTAGTGAAGCTATTCACTGGCACATCTGCAAGAAGACATGAATAAAAGTGTAGAGCAAGAAAAGAAAGAGGAAGGAAGGCCCTTGCAGCTATGGAGCCTGAAAAGCCTCAAAAGGGACCAGGAAGAGGACATAACCTCTGCCATGTGGATGGTGGACAGCCCATTTTAGGCAGGAACATTGCAGACTGAAGTGTCAGCAAGGAAAGGAATGGATGATTCCATAAAAGAGAACATGGTTCAATATGAGACTGAAGAAGAGTAAAGAGAGATGTGAGACTGGGTAGTAAAAACAGCGGGGTACCACTGGTGAAGAAGATGTTTGCAAAATAAAAACAAATCCCTAATTTACTCCTTCATTTTTAGAATTACACTCATTTGTTTGTTTATGGTGGGGAGGGGAATGCTGAACATATGCACCACAGTCAGCCTGCAGGGAGTTCTCTCCTTCTACCATGTGGTTTCTAGGGATCAAACTCAGATCGTCAGTCTTGACAGTGAGCACTTCTATCCACAAGTCATTTCCAGGACCCAGGAAGTGAATAATAGCTATAAATGTAGTCTCCAATTATAAACAGAAAAAGAAAAATGTGTGCACCAAATCTGCATGATGAAAAGTGATATGTCCGAGGTGAGGCAAGCATCTGCCAAGGAAAATTCACTGAACAGGTCTGCACTGCACACCTGTCATTGAGATCAGTCTTCTGACACAGCACTCACTGGTTTCAATAAAACTTACCTGTAAGCAAATCGCCAGGTTCACTCTGCAGCCAAAGGAAGTGCTAACAGCCCGTGGGTGGAGGCCCAAGTCCTTAAAGAGCTTTGAGAAAGACTGTGTGAGGGCGATTCGGGGACGCTCTTCTGCTACAACCACACAGGTTCTTACTCGGGACAAGTCCAGTCCTCGTGCCTGGAAATAAGGACAGGGACACTAACTAAGCCATCAATATGTAGCTGTGTGTGACCTAGACACCCTTTCATTCAGAATTCCTCAGGAACAGTGAGAACCCAACACTGCTCTTGATTTCTAGTGCCATCTGTCCCCAAAATGTTCTGTAAGCCAGTTGAGGATGTTAGTACAATAAAACCAAAAACAAACAAACAAAAAACCCAGCCAAACCAATCAAAAAGCCAAACATATAAACAAACAAAACCATACAGATATTCAAAATAGTAAAGATGCCATTGAAAACATGTTTGAAATGATAGCAAGAATCCCAGAAAAAAGGCCAAGGGAAGCACTCTTACTGGAGAGGACCAGGCATTAGTGTACATTCTTTTGGGCACGATCGACCAGGAATGTACACATGATGGGGCTAGAGGACCCTACCTATACTTCAGGGCTCACATCTGCCAGTAATTCCAGTTCCAAAGGACTAACACTCTTTTTTAGGTCGGGGCAGGGGAGGTTGTGCCTAATCTTACCGCAATTTGATATGCCATGATTGTTGATATCCCTGCCCTTTTCTGAAGGGAAACAGAGGAGGAGTGGCTAGGGATTGGAGAAGGTGGGGGTTATCAATTGGGGGCAGAGGGAGGGAGGGAAAACTGCAGTCAAGATGTAATATATGAGAGAATAAACTCATAAAAAATAAAGAAGACAGTGGCGTATCCTGATTCACAGAGCTATGGCAAGTATCAATGGAAATGTAATGTAATATCACAATCACTCAATTGTGATAGTTCTGATTATTATGTACATGCTAACAACAAAACTTAATGAAAATGCACCTGACCATTTTGTAATGTAATATAGACAGACTAAAAGATAATTACTCTCTGTAACTCTTCCTTATGTAAATAATTTCATAAAATTCCATTTATATAGATTAACATCACAGCTACACATTTTGTTTCATTACACTGCGATGAATAGAAAAAAATTCAGAGGAAATAAATGTCCTACGTTCTGCTTCTCTCTATGTATACACATACAAACGTAAATAACCTGTACAGTTACACACACACACACACACACACACACACACACACACACACACACACTGCACATACAGGCAAAGAATAGCTGGATGGAATACTACCAAGATATGTATTAGCATTATTTTTCCCTCTTACCATTAACTAACAATCACTCAAATTATCATGAAAATATGTCTATCAAATGCCCTAATTTAAGTAGAGGGAAACACTGTTCTCAGTGTAAATCAAAAAGAAAAAAAGTGAAAACCAAAACACTTTTCACTTAGTTGCAAAATGAATTTTTGTTACAGTGTAGACCATCAAATAAGGACCTCCCAACAACCTAAACACGAACATGTAAACTTAAAACTCTCTACTTGAACATCAAAATCAGGTAGAAACAGAGAAAAAGTTAACATTTTTTGAACACTGGTGGAGCAATTTAGGACAAAATACTTTACAATCTTGTTTATTAGTATCTGTGACAGGGGGAAAGTATTCATGGGGAAAACCTAAAACCTCATTTCCCCCAAATCAATCTACAATCAGATCACATTTCAGTTCTTTGGGAAGACTGTGATGGCCTCACCCAATGTGAGTGTCCTTTTCAGGACTAGCGTGAACTGGAGTGCTGGTGAACCTGGAGGCTCTAGCAGGGGCTGCTTACCTTGAGGGACTCAGTTTGTGAGCCCAGCCCCTTGGTGCAAAGCTCCATCACTGAATAGGAACAGAAGGTATCCCGGACTTTGTACTGACTCACAGCAAGAAGCCACAAGGCAGGGTTGGTCTCCAGCTCAGAGGGTGGGATCAGAATGGACTGGTGCCCCGAGTATACACTGCAGACACAAGACAGGCCATCAGGGCTGAGACCCAGAGCAGATGGGAAAGAGACAGTAACATTCATCACTGAGAAACAGGACCACTTCAAGCAAGAAAATTTCATATGTAAGACAAATAGAAGAGCAAGATACAAATAGATTGTCTCCTGTGCCAGTGAGTTCCAGACTCTTCCTCACTTTTTCTTCTAACAGGGTTAGTGTGTCTGGTTTTATGTTGAGGTCTTTGATCCACTTGGACTTTATTTTTGTGCAGGGTGATAAGAATGGGTCTGTTTGCATTTTTCTACATGTAGACATCCAGTTAGACCAGCACTATTTGTTGAAGATGTTATATTTTTTCAATTGTATGGTTTTGGCTTCTTTGTCAAAAATCAAGTATCCATAGGAGTGTGGATTTATTTCTGGGTTTTCTATTCGATTCCATTGATCATCCAGCCTGTTTCTCTGCCAGTACCATGCAGTTTTTATTACTGTTGCTCTATAATACAGCTTGAGATCAGGGATGGAGATACCTCCAGAAGATCTGTTATTGTACATGGTTGTTTTAGCATTCTCGGTTTTTTGTTTTTCCATATGAAACTGAGAATTGATTTTTCAAGTTCTGTAAAGAATTGTGTTGGTATTTTGATGGGAATTGCATTGCCAGGCCACAGAGAAAGACAATACAGCCAGTCCTGATGAGATCTGATAGGCTAGGGTCAGATGGAAGGGGAGGAGGACCTCCCCTATTAGTGGATTAGGGGAGAGGCATAGTGAGAGAAGAGAGAGGGAGGGTGGGACAGGTAGGAGATAAGGGAGGATACAAAACAATAAATTGTAAGAAATAATAATAATTAATAAAAAGATGCAAACAGATTAAGAAAACCCCATAGGAAGAAAATTAAGACAATCAAAAGAAGTCAGACACTTGATCTTCCTACTGTCAATCTGCCCTGTATTATGTCCAAACCATCATACAGAATGACAAGTACAGTCATCCTTATCTTTTATCTTTATAGTTGAGAGTACACTTAGGAAAATGACAGATTACATATTTTAATTAACAATCAATTGATTAGGTAATTGGTATGGATTTTAAAAATAAAGTATTTGTTCAAACTGTCATTTTGAATAGCAGTTGCTATTCTTTTTAGTATTTTCCCTGCATGTATGCCTGCACGCCAGAAGAGGGCAGATCTCATCATAGATGGTTGTGAGCCATCATGTGGTAGCTAGAAATTGAAACCCAGGACCTCTGGAAGAGGAAACAGTGCTCTTAACCTCTGAGCCATCTCTCCAGCACTGAAACTGCCATTTTTAATGCTTATCATTTTGAATTAACAGTCCTTGATCCTACTTTCTATAATAAAAAATCCCAGATAAATATTCTGAGATTTAAAGAGATATTTTCACTATACAAAAATTCATATGAAACCCAGATCATTGTTATGTTCTATCAAAAGACATATCTGTCTGTCTGTTTTTTTCTCTCTCTCTCTCTCATTCTCTCTCTGTGTGTGTATGTGTGTGTACACCTGTAATCTTTCTAGCAATCTCATTTTAAAAAACTTCAAAACTAAAAGCAAGAGAGCCCCGCTGGCTCAATAAATTAATGGAAACTGTATGAGCCCATAAACTTATTTTGAATAGGATCCTTCACATAGAGAACCACTGTAGAGAGAACATGGCAAAAGAGTACTGGTAGCAAATTTTCATTTCTGTCTTTATTTGTACATTTCAAAATTTCACTCATTTTTGCCAAATAGCAAATCCTGACCTTTTGTACAGCCTTTCTAATGCAGTTAGTAATTTGAGAATGAGGATATCAGTACATACAAAGAAAGAAAATCGGACTTTAAATTATCATTATGTTTTATATTGGCTATTTCTTTTCTCTTTTTAAAACTCTTATCTTAGGATTGGAGAAGGAACTCAGCATTTAGGAACACTGGCAGCTCTTCCAAAGGACCCAGGTTCAATTCCCAGCACCCATGTAGTAGCTCATAACTGTTGTCTATAATTTTAGTTCTAGGGGATCTTCATGTCTCCATGGGTACCAGACACAAATGTGTATAGACATGTGGAAGCAAATACTCATAAAATAAAATTTTAAAAATTAAAATTCTTATCTTATATTGGGTTACATAAGACCAGTTCCACATGAGTGTATAATACACTCTGAGCATATTATTCCCCATCATGCCCTGCAACTCTTAAGTAGATTATTTTTGCTTTGACTTATAAAATGTCATGGCAATAAATACATATAACATCAACTTTACCATTAAAAAATTCATTTCACTATTTTATACATATAAGCATTGGGCTGCAGGTATGTCTGTACATCAAGTGTACACCTAGTGCCCTCGGTGTTCAGAAGGTGTCTGATCCCCTGGAAATGGAGTTAAAGACACTTGTAAACTGCTCAGTGCATGCTAGTAGTTGAACCTGGGTCTTCTTGAAGAGAAGTCAGTGCTTAAACACTGAACTATTACTCTAGCCAGTCCCTAACTTTACCCTTCTAACCAATTCTAAGTTTGCACATCAGCAGGTTTTGTTGTAAGCACAAGGATGTGTAAACATCACTATTTCCAAGCCCTTTCTCTACTCAAAGAGAAACTCTGTATCCTTTACATAATAATTTACCATCTCTTTTCTCTTGCCCTCTATTCTTTCTCTGTGTCGATCCCAAATGCTCCCTTTAAGTAGAATTATACAAATATGTCCTCTTCATCATGGCTTATTTCATTCAGAATGGTAATTTTGAGGTTGCCTACATAGCAGTATATGTCTGAGTTTTTCCATGTTGTGGCTGGATACTACTTGACTGGGGGTACACATTACATGTTGTTTATACATTCTCCACTGATACTTTGCTGGGGTCCACCTTTTAGCTATTGTGAATAAAGCTGTGAGGAATATTATTATACCAACGTCTGTTTGAATACTTCTTTTGAGCATATATTCAGGAATATAATTGCTGGACTACTGGGTAATTCTGTGATTAACTTTTTGGGAAACGTTAAAACCATGTTCTATAATGACTGATAATTTTGAATTCTTACTAGACATCATCCAAGTCTCTCTGCATCCTTTGCCAACAACTGGTATTCTCTGCTTCAGTACACCTACTGTAGAATGAAATGGTACTTATCTCTGATTTTGATTTGCTTTCCCTAGGGAAATGTGTAAATGTTTATAATGAATATGTCATAATCAGTAAAACCCCATGTAAATAATTCTAATATCCAATAGTAGGACAATTTTTTTTAATGATTTGCCATTGAAGGGTATTTATTAAGGACTTTTTTTTGTTGTTTGTTTTATTGAGACAAGATTTTACTTTGTAGTTTAGGCTGGCCTTGAACTTATGGCAGCCTTCCTGTTAGAGCCCAGCAAGTATTAGGTTACAGGTGTGAGTCATTACACCCATCTCTAAAGATCATTTTACACTAGGTTTTTTCACAGAGTTCAAATAACATTACACAAGTATACCTATAATAATAATAGATTTATATACTATTCAAATAACTATCTGTTACAAGTTACTTTCTAGGCAATGAAATGTGAGGTTAGCTTAGTCCTTGAGAGCAAACTTACATCCAGCTGTCCTTTTATCCAGAACCAAAGCTTTTTACACTGTTTTCCCAAAACCTAGCATGAAATGAGCCTTCCAAAAAATTACCTTTTTTTTTCTTTCAAAGCATATCCATATTATTTTCCAATATTTTAAGAACTATACTTGGGATCTGACAGCAAAGTAGATGTCTTCTTAGCTCTAGAAATGCCATTTAAGGGCTTATACTTCCTTCTCTCCTCACCCAGACCTACATATGTTAAAAATATATTCTATGTTTAATGAAATGCATGTTGCAGAGGTCAGTTATCACATCCCTGTGGAATTGCAGTTACAGGCAGTTGTGAGCTGCCTGGTATGGGTGCTAGAAATCAAAACTGGGTGCTCTACAAGCCAGTATGTGCTCTTAACTTTTGAGCCATCACTCCAACTCCATGAACAATCATTGAAGACTGGGTGTTATTTCCAGAGCACACCATAGCTAAAATAGACATCCTCTCCCTGTCTCTACCTGGCTTGAGAGGTTTGAATAATGACCTCATCCTAATCTTTTTCCTAGAAATGTGTAGCTTTCCCCATGATGCCCAGGGGAGTAAGGCATTCCCACCTGAAGTGATTTTACTAAAATTTAGGATTTCATTTGCTATCAGGAAGCTTCATTTAGACTCTAACTAGGTATGCCTTGGAATTAGAGCTTTATTCATTAGCTAGTGTGTCATCTCCAATTAGAAACCTCAAGGTAGCACTGAGCAGCAATCAGAATAAGTGGAAAATTTACCTTGACTATATGAATATTAAAAGAACTACCTCAAGGCCAAACACAGAACCATACATCAGCAAGAGTCTAAGCTCTAGCAAGCCTACACATTATAAATCCCATAAATCATAATTACCTACCAGGAAGCACTATGTGTCTTTCTATACTGAGAAGTAAAGGAACATAGTGTTTCTGTTAAAATCAAATGCTATGCAGCCCATTCATGATTCAAAGTCCAATATGCTACCTTAATTAGATGTTCTTAGTTTTTTATTTTATTTTTGAAGCTGAAAATTAAACAGCTATGCGGTCACATTAAGTACTTTCCAGTACCACCAAACAAGCTTAATGGCATTTGGGCTTAATGCCTTAGGGAATAAACACTGAGGTATATAAACTTATAAAATGACTTTCTTTTTAATTCTGGCAACCTACCATATCCATATCCCCAATTTTAATTTTAAAATTGCTAGCATAAGGAAGTCCAAATTGGAGAACATTAAAGAGAAATAGTCCACAACTTAATTTCCCAACAATATACACTAGAATTAGTGAACTGTTTGGTCTAAGTCTTAGCATACAAAAATGTTGGGCCAAGAATTGTTAATGAATTCAGGGCCATCTAATTTCAAGCACATTAGTAAACATTATACATAGAGTCACTGACCTCTTCAGTACCCCATG